AATATCGCAACATTCCATTTGGGAAATATTGAAAAATGAGGTAAAGGTCGGGGTAAAGCAATTGAAATTCCAAAAAGTGCAAGAACTTACACCGCAACATTAAGAAAATAGACTCAAAACAGCTAAAAAATTGCTTCGCTTGGCCGAGTGTGGTGAACTGTCGAATTTGGTTTTCTCCGATGAGAAAACATTCGTTGTTCAGCAAAAAAATGATCGTGTTTACCTGCCAAAGACAACTGCTGAATATGTGAACCTTCGGTTGGCCACCAGAACTCAGCGCCGGCCATGGTTGTGCTCCGCTTTTACTGGTGGAATAGAATCAGAATAAATGCCTCAGATCTTAGACATTCCAACAGAACTCAGCACCATCGCACTCAGCACGCGCCAACCAAAAATGGTTACAAAATAAGATTCGTCGCTTCATTTCCAGCGCACAATGACCACCAAAATCTCCGGATACCAATCCGTTGGACTATTGTGTCTGCAGTATTTTGGAAAAAATACCAAAGTGTCGATCACCTCAAGCAAGCGCTTCGCCAAGAATGAGCCAAAATACCGCAGAGCAACATTCAAATTATTCTAAAATTTGATGCTATTTCCGACATTTTTAGCTTTCATTCAATAAAATTTAAAAAATGTAAAAATTATAGCTTTTGGCTTTGTTACAGTTTTTTATCTCACCCCGTATTCCTCCCAGTCAAGAAAAGGAAGATGTAAAATGAGTTATAAAAAAATTGAACATGTTCCCAGACCTGCGTAAAGATCTCCTAGTCAGCAGGGAGGCTTTCTACAATGGTAGAGTTCCATATAAAATACGCCTCTTGGGGACCATCCACATTTCATCCATGACTGCCATTTTCAATTCACTGAGGTTCTATTTCCAACTTTTCAGAGTTCGAACATAAAATCCAAATGTACAAAAACAGCAATAACCCTCTCTATTCATTTTTTTTCTGAAGTATACCCCGCAGAAGGATTACAGTAGACAGGGAGGTCTTCGAATAGAGCAACTCATTTTCAAATTAAAGCATTGAAATGCTGATATGCACATGCACTTTCCACAACTATCTCCCATTGTGTCATTACAAAAACATATCCCCATATCCATATTCTTCTTCAACGTCAGCAGCTATTCTATACCTACAACTCATTAAATACCACACCATCGGCCTTTATAAAAATATTTAAATCAGACCTTAATTTCTTTCGTGCAAAGGCATGGTATAGGTAATACTTTCTAAATATAAACATGATGACCCCAAAATTCAGTGTCATCTCAAACAAAGAAGCCTTAATTAGTTTTCATTTATGGGGAACAAATAGTTGGCAGGCAGGCAAGCGGGCGGGGATGCAGACTGTCTGCTGGTGGCCAGGATCCAAACAAAGAAAATCAAAAGCAAAATAAAAAAGTAAACTTCAGGTTTCACGCACACAGTGACATAGCCACTGCAAGACCACATGCGTTAAGTGTTGTTGTTTTTGTTTTGTTAATGAAACCCCCCAGCAGCAAAACATTAAGCGGCGGCATCCAACCATAACAACAAATTAAAGACAATTTTTCGTTGTTAAAATGATGCCCTCCATTTACGTTGCTCTTGTTTTAGAAAAATCGGTTAGGGAAAAACTTTCCCCCTTTGCTTTCCCGTCTTTTTTCCAATGGAAAATATATCAAATTTTATATTATTTATCTTTTGCAATTATTAAAAAACAAAAACACACTGCCGCAATGCCAATTAAAACAAAAATAACAACAACAAATTTGTTATTTTGGCACCGTCATCAATTCCATATTCCATGTTAATTGATAAACACCGAAAATTTCCCCCCCACATCTCCGACAAAATCCAAAAATTTCTCATTCGTAGAAAGAAATTCTGTAACATATTTTTCCACTCCGATCAGTGTTCACAATGTTCACTTGCTCCTAGCTTTACCTTTCGTTTACGGGAACGTTTCTTCTCCGACATTGTTCAAATGTTTCAATTCAGCAATATTTATGGTTTAAAAATTATTTTAAAATTGTTTTATAAGTTTTTTTAACAAATTTTTACACTGCGTGTTTCTGTTTCGTGTTTTTATGTAGTTTTGAGGGGTCTTGATGTATTGGTGATTACCGCTGCACTGCACTTAATCGATAACATGCATTCTTATTGGATGCTATCGACATTTGTGTGGGGAGGATTACTGTACAACGTAACGTAAATTCCAGCTGATTGCGTTTTCGTTTGGGACGTTTTTTTTATTTTGGTGTTACGGGAAATCGTATTTGAAAAAATAAACAGCGTTATTTGAAAAGGGGAGAAGTCGGGCGGGACCAGGGACACACACCGATCTGCCTATTTAGTGGAGCTATCTATAACAAAGAAACATTTACATTTGGAATTAAAGTGAAGTAGCCTTTTCTCTTTAAAAAAAACTGGTTCAATCAAACTGTCTTACACCTGAAACTGGTTGCAATTTATTATCAAAATACGTGCTCCGTTAAAAAGGCTATTCAGGCTAATGTAACTGAATTTTACACCAAATTTAAAATAATTGCACATTAAACCATCAACACCTACGCTGAACCAGAACTTGAAGAAATCTTAAGAAAATATAGAAAATGATTTTGAAAAGAAATTTTGATTTTTCATTCAATTTTCGTGATTTTTGGTTATTTATTCAAAATCAGTGCATCAAGTTTACTTTCAACATTTTTCAAAATAGCCTACCTTCTTTTCATTGTTCCATGCATGGTACAATGAAGAGAAGGTAGGCCAACTTTGAAAAAATTGCATGTATAGAGGTCTACCTGTTTGGCTTGTAATGTCAGAATTACTATCAAAACAATAAAAAAGCAAAGAACTTGTTGTATTGATTTTGAATAAATAATTTAAAACCGCGAAAACTGAATGAATGGTCAAAATTTCTTTTCAATATCATGTTCTATATATCTCTTATGGTTTATTTCGCGACAAAAACTGTAGATTTTGTCGATGCATTCGTTGCAATAAGCATTTTGAATACACCCGAATTTGAATATTTTCTGAACAATTTCTTATTATTGAAAAGAAGACACACACATAAACAAATGAAGTTGACATATTAAGCCATAAAATTTAAATCATATGGTAGTTCTGCCCTACCTTGAATTCATTGTACCATGGTTCCATGTAAAAAAATTCTAAGTCGTCTTAACGAAGTCCGTCTGTCTGTTGAAATCAAGATGCAGCCCACATTATATGAGAGAAGAGCATTTGGCACAAAAATTGGCAGTGTGTCAAAAATAATTGGTATTGAAAATCAGATATATCGGTACACGTTTTTGTATAGCCAAATGTAATGGTACCTTCCGATATTCTGTATTTTGAACCTTTTTACCACATTTTTTCACAGATTTGTCTGAAAAATAGCATTTGTAGTTCGTAATGGTTTCCAGCTCCGGTGGCGGAATATTGTACATATAGGTCCATGTTTTCGTATAGCCTCCATATAACGTTACCTCTCGATTTTCAGTATTTTGATGGTTTTAGTCAATTTTTTTGCGGATTGGCCCAAAATTTGGCATTTGTAGTTCATAATGGGGTTTTCTATATCGCACATATGACGCACATAAGACTCGCAATAAGTATTTTTATATGGGTTCCCGTTTGGGTATGGCCCCCATATAATGGCCTCACCCACTCATTGAAAATTTTAACTGCATTATCCAAACGGTAATACTGGTATTTGTATTTTAAAGTGGAACACGTTTAAATTCAGATACTTTTATATAAAAATGTTTTCTTTAGCGAATTTCTTTCGGATGTACTTAATGCAGTGGTGCTCAAAACCGTGTTCTAGAACATGAAGAGAAAAAAGAGATAATTTAAGAGAAAATTAAATTCTGTTTTTTTTTATATTTTACGGTTCTATTTAATTGTTTTTAAACAAGAATGTTTGCCAAAATAATTTATAAAGCAAATGGATAAAAAATATTTGTATAAATAATGATTTAACACTGTTTTGTTCTTGATTTAAATAAGCAAAGAGAAATTTGACTGAAAAGAGATATTTCTTCTTGAGCACTGCTGATTTAATGTTTTTTAGTTGTTAACTTTCCTACAGGCCTTAATGTGGCGTTTCCACTGCACTTGATTCGCTCTCTATTCGTTGTTTGACCCTTAACTATGAAAAAACTACCTAATTCTTCACACAAAATTTCCTGAGCGAACACTCATATTTGTACGTTGTTCAAATCAAATCACTCTCAGAACAACGAAAAAATATGTCCCATCCCTAACAAATAAGAGCATTTATCGAAAAAATAAATTATGACATTTAAAAATTAAAAATAGAAAAATTTGATGAAATTTTAAAAAATTTTGGGAAGACTGAAAATTATGAATGAAAACTAGAATGTTGAATGGCGTATGTACATTCAAACGAAAGTAAATTTTGTTTTCTCTCTCATTCGAGGTACGCATTTTGTCCACGAGTTAAAATTTCCACAGAAAACGCAAACAAAAGAGGCAACATTTTCAAAATGTTTCTATCAACAGAAAAAATATTTGACAAGTGTCTCTCCAGCAGAATTTAAAAATGGAAAAACACAAAAATGTGTTCAAAATGTCAACATTTACACAAAAAGTTGAAATCGTGAATGAAAATTGTAAAATTAATGATATAATAAATATTTGGGAGGAAAACAATAATTTCTTCTATTCATATTAGTGAGAATTTCATGTATTTTCGTATAAATTCCCATTAAAATCAAAAAACAAAATTTTTGAAAAAAGGATTTATTTTACTATGAATTACGAATCGTGCCGTATGAACGGGTTAATTCGTGTACGTAATTCTGAGAGCGAACAACGTTGTTCGGTTTCCAATGGAAACATGCTATAAAATTTTAACCGTTACTAGTTTTTTATTAAAAAAATCTGTTTCTGGATCCCTGTTGAACAATTGTTTTCATTCCTTTAGATCCCTGTTGAAGGATTTTCTCGATATCTAGAACCCTGCAGAAGAGGTTTTTCGATTTTTAGAACCCTTCGGCAGTCGTGTTTTGTTTTTGTTGTTCTTGAATTAAATAATAATACAATTTTTCAAAAATTTAATTAATATTATAAAAGCAATTACAAAAACGTTTCCAATGTTTGCAAAGCTAGCACTATTCCCTAGAATGGGCCAACAACTGAGGCATATGCATATCAAAAGAGCAGAGCTCTACAGGGTAAGCACTGCTCTTTACTTATTACAATTCATATTTAAAAACGTATTTTCTGAATCCAAAGAAATGTTGCTTCATCCTGGGCGTCGAAGAGACAGCAGACCAGAATACAGTCCGCAGAGCCTACATAGAATTGGTAAAAAAAGTCCATCCCGATTCGGGTCTACCCGAAGCTTCCGCTGAACGTTTCCAAGAAGTCGATGAAGCCTTTAAGGTGCTGCAGGAAAAGTTTGCCAAAAATCGTCGTGGCATATATGAAGATGAGGAGGAAGAGGTGCCTGATATTCGCCACACTGCTCCCCAACATCGCCAATACTTAACCTTTGATGGTCTCGGTGTTGGTAATCCTTTTCAACGCCAGAAACAATATCAACAAATTAAGGCCATGAAGGCACAGGAACGTGTACTCAAACATCGCATCGACAAGTCGCAGGCCGATGAAAAGACGGTCATGAAAAAGGGTACATTCTTCAAGAAACATGCCATCAAGACTAAATATGGCTTCGATCGTTTGGTTGAGGATTACATTCAAGAGGCTATGTCACGTGGTGATTTCAATAATTTAAGTTGTGCCGGTAAACCGTTGACCCAGGCTCAAACCCAAAATCCCTATTTGGATTTTACAACACATAAACTGAATAAAATTCTCATCGATAATGGTTTCACTCCCGAATGGATTATGTTACAGCGGGATATACGTGAGGCTTTGGATGACATGAAAAGCAAAATCAAAAAGGAACGAATCTATTATGGAGAATATCCGCTAAATGAAATGGAGGAAAATCAATGGCAGGAGTTTTTGAAAAACTTTGCCTACGATGTGAAACAAATTAACAAGAATATTGATAAATACAATTTAATTGTACCGATATTTGATCATCAATTCTTTCGTGTAAATTTACAGAGAATTGGTGAAGCAATACTCAAGGACCCCTCTGTGCCATGTAATCAAAAAAGACCTCAAGCCCGCCCAGAATCAGCCAGTAATACCAGTAACCATGGCAAATCGGATTTTTTCTCATTTATTGGTTCATGGTTTTGAAACGAGTCCAAATACACCTGAAGGAATTACAAATGTGATAGTTGTACCTACATTTGAATGTAGTTTGTGATATTTTACTTTTCTTTCTTAATTCGAAAATATAAACAATTGTTCTTTATTATTATTATAATTGTTGTAAAAATAACATCTTAATTTATATTAACACATCTTTTTTGTATTGTCTTTCTTTAGGCAAATATCACTTTGCCATCTTTGTTTAAACGGGCCAAGCCATTGGCCACCAAACGCAAGGCCTTCGGGAAGGCAAAGTATTCGGCATAATGGATACGCTCTGTTAGAGTTTCCTCGGTATCTCCTGGTAAGATGGGCACAGAGGATTGCACGACTATGGCACCGGTATCAACACCCTGGAAACGCCAAAATTTCAGATTAGAAACATTAGTAAAATGAAATAAAGAGAAAAAAAAAACAAACATTAGCCTTACCTCATCAACAAAATGTACTGTACAACCGGATTCCTTGTCGCCGGCCTCCAGAGCCTTCTTCTGTACATGTAGTCCTGGATGTTTGGGTAAAAGCGAGGGATGTATGTTCAACAATTTACCTCTCCACAGCTTAACAAATGGTTCACTCAAGACCCGCATAAATCCAGCCAAACAAACAATGTCTATTTTCATTTGCAACAAATGCTTGGACATTTCTTCATCGAATGCTTCGCGGGTCTTGAAATCTCTGTGGCTAATAATTATGCTTGGTATACCGGCTTTTTGCGCCCGCTCAATACCCTTAACACCGGACTTATTCGATATTACCAAAACAATGTCTGAATTTAGACCTTGTGATGTATCTCTGCTGGCATCGATCAAGGCTTGTAGATTAGTTCCCGAACCAGATATTAAGACTGCCACACGTTTACGTGGAGCTGATATAACACGTTTTGTGTGCTCTAAACATTTTTCAAAATTATCCACCTGCACCTGTGGTGAGACAACTGTTTCTCGGCGCTTAACAACTCCCACTTTGGCAGCTCTTTCAGAAAACTCTATTAGTTCCATAACTTGACGTTCGTGTTTTGGATCCACAACCAAAACCATGCCCAAACCACAGTTATAGGTGCGTTGCATTTCTTCTGGTTTGACATTACCCTCTTGGGCAAGCCAGGCAAAAACTGGTGGTATGGTGAATTTTTCAGCATTTAATTGTACAGCCAAGTCCTTTCTTAAGACCCGAGGAATATTTTCTGTCAGTCCACCACCTGTAATGTGAGCCATCGCCTTGACCAATCCCTTTTGTATGAGAGGTTTCAAGGCATTCACATAGATTTTTGTGGGTCTCAGGAATTCTTCGCCAAATGTGAGATTGCTAAAGGGGGCTTTGTCGTCAAAGGTTACTCCAGCCAATTTCATGACAGCATGTACCAAACTAAAACCATTGCTGTGGACACCAGAGGAGGGTAAGCCAATCAGAACATCGCCTGGTTGGATTTTATCGGTTAAAGGTAAAATGCGTTCATATTCCGCAATGCCCAAGGAGAATCCAGCCAAATCGTAAACTTTGGGTTTGTACAATACGGGTACTTCCGAGATATGAGATTCTGTACAGAAGAGAAGCTATAATTTTCTATTTTTTTTTTCAAGGACAATTCTTACTTACCCACTAAACTTGCCCCTGATTGACGGGCCCCCTCAATCACACCATCAACAATTTCCTCGGCCAACTCTTCATCCAACTGACCACATGCATAATAGCTGGCAAATGTAAAAGGCTCTGCACCATTGCATAGAATATCATTGACACACATGGCCACCAAATCAATACCCACAGTACCATTGCGTCCCGTCTGTTGGGCAATTTTAATCTTTGTACCCACACCATCGGTACCCATAATCAAAATGGGATCTTTAAATGTCTTGGGAACTTCGGTCAAACGTCTGCCATTTTGTGCTACAAAAGATTCTGGACGCTTTTCGGCATTGACAATCAACTGGCCCTGCAACTCGTGATAGTTTGGCTCGGACAGCTCACCATCACCCATGTCAATCCAATTTTTTTTGTGTTTTTCCAAAGCCTGAACGAAATTCTTGACTTCAATTTGTGGAGTTTTTGGACAAGAGTTGAGTCGACGCTTTACAACACCCAAGACTTTGGCACCCTTAATGGATTTCCAAGCTGTTGAACCTTTGTGGACAATCATCACCAGACCGATACCGCAGTTAAGCGTTTGCAAAAGCGTATCCTCTGACAACTTGAGTTTGGCTGCCAACCAAACATATACCTCGGGTACAGTCAGATCGCCGAAATCCAAAGCAATTTCATATTTGGAGGGTAAAATTCTGGCAACGTTTGGAATTAAACCTGATGTTATGTGGGCTACAGCTTTCACAGTCTCACTGCGCAACATTTGTAAGACTTCTTGGACATAGAGAAGGGAGGGTTCAGCCAGATTTTCACCTTTTTGTTGGGAAGAGGAGAAACGTATTAGTTTGAAAATCATGTTCAGTTTTGTAGCCCCCTAGCTTTGCTTACCTAGTGTCTTTTGTTTATCACCGAATTCCGACTTTTCCGTCAGATCAACACCTTGATTTTGTAAACTTGATAGAACAGCATTATAGCCACCACAATGGAGACCAGAGGAAGGCAATGAGATTAACAAATCCCCTTCTTCATAGAGTTCATATTTTGGTAATTCCTTGCCCTTTTCCACAATACCAACACAGTAGCCGGCAATATCATATTTTCCCACCTCATAAACCGAAGGCATTTCAGCAGTTTCACCGCCTTTTTCCAGAAAAAGAAAACACAGATAAAAAATCTATTTGCAACCTAAATAATGAGAGGCCAACTCACCCACTAAGGCACACTTGGCAGCACGACAACCCTCAGATATACCCTTGACAATTTGGGCAGCCACTGGCACCTGCAGTTTACCACAAGCAATGTAATCCAAAAATGCTACTGGTTCAGCACCTGATTCCAAAATATCATTGGCACACATGGCAAAGAGATCATAACCCAAATTCTCATAGGTACCCAAGGCAAGGGACAGCTGTATCTTTGAACCCACACCATTGGTGGCTTCACATATTACGGGGTTTTTGTAGTCCAACTAGAAATGTCAGAATTAAAAATTAACAAAAAGGACCAAAAAGAATATGAAAGCTCCCCCATATTACCTCCTTCAAACGAAACAGACCACCAAAACCACCCAAGCCCCCAATAACACCTGGCCTCTGAGTGCCGCGTGACAATGGTTTGATACGTTGAACCAAATCATCACCCGCATCTATGTCCACACCGCTATCCTTGTAGGACAGAGAAGGTTGGGAAGATTTTTGTCTTAATTTTGCATGAAATGAAAAAGAATTGAGAATTTATTATAAAAGTGAGTACAAAATTTTATTTCTTTTTTTTAATTCATTGTGCAATAATTACAATTTAAAGGCTTTTTCGGCAATATCAGTACGGAACTGGGCACCGGCGCCGGAAAATGTTATATTCTGGCAAATATTAGTAGAATCTTGAGCGGCTAGTTTAAGGTCCTTACGAAGTGTTACAGCAATCAAAACACGTCCACCGTTGGTGACGAATTTCCCATCAGCATTTACACCCACACCGCTGTGGAATATAATTTGATCGGCCGTATTGGCTGGAATGCCTGTAAAGAGGAATAAAAAAGGGAAAGTATTACGGATTATATAGGGGAAACATTATGGATTGGAGGGGTGTTGCAATTTTCATTCAAAACAGAGTAAAGGTGGTAATAGACATTACCCTAACAAATTTGGAGGCTTTCTTTATGAGCAATTAAAGGGTACCAGAGGAGAACTCCTTATCTCAGATAGGAGGATGATTTCTTCCATCAGGCTATACAAGGTAAAGTGCCATAAATTGGGTCACCGATATTGTTTTGGAATACTACGAAAAATCATGATTATTAAATTCTCTCGTTCCAGCCAGTTTTGATAAACTGGATTCTGTCGGATGTACCAAACATGCAGGACTTTTTGACAGATATTGGCCATTTTATGCACAATTAACCCGAAATCGGTTGAGGATATATATGGGAACTATATCCGAATCTGAACCGATCTTTACAAAATTTGATACACTTATTTCGGAGCTGTATCTGATATCTGGTACAAAATATCATTGTTGTGCAATGCATATTACGCTTGTGAGGGACTTTAAACCCCAAATCGGATAAAACATAAACATGGGAGCTTTAGTTATATCTGAACCGATTTACACCAAATTTGAAGTACTGGTTTCTAGGATGAATTCAGTCGTAATTGCCGAAATTCAGTCCATTTGGGCTGATATTAGCCATTTGGTGCACAATAAACCGGATATCGGATAAAGATATATATGGAAGCTATATCCTATTCTAAACCGATCTCCATAAAATTTAGCAGAGGTATTTTCGAGCAGTATCTGATGTTCGGTACCAAAACACATTCTTGTGGAGTGCAAATTACGCATGTGAGGGATTTAAAACCCCAAATCGGATAAAACATATATATGGGAGCTATAGCTATATCTGAACCGATTTTCTCTGAATTCGATGTACTTGCTTCTCTTCTCAATTCGGTCAGATATACCAAAATTTAGGACTTTTGGACAGATATTGGCCATTTGGTGCACAATTAACCCGAAATCGGTTGAACCCGAAATCCGATTATCACCAATTTCAATAGGGTTCGTCCTTGGGCCTAACAAATATTGTTTGGAAAATTTCAACGCAATCAGATAATAAATGAGACTTGCAACTTCAGAAGAATACATGGACGGACAGACGGACTGACATGCATAAATAGACTCAAGACCTCAAGAGTAACTATGAGTCTATCTCGTTTTCTTCTCCATGTAACAAACAAATGCACCACTGTGTGGTGTAGGGTATAAAAATGGAGTCTTGTTAGAAGGTCCATAAGAAATGCAAGTGCTTGGAAGGGTCCTCACTAGCTGTAAAACTTGGAAGTGTTCCATAATGAAAACAGTCTATAATAAAATCCAAAATTGTGGGGTTTGGGTTGGAGATGTTGTTGAGAGGAGAGAGATTTATATGTTGCTCTCACTAGCAAACTGACACACATGATTTTATTTAGTTTCCCTTGGCCTAAATTTGAAAAAAAATTCTGTAGTTTCATAACATCTAGCCACAGTAGTATTGAAATACGTGAGATCACATTCTCTTACCTTCAATTACACATCCTTTGGTCGAAGTCTCCGGATAGCCGGCACTGGCCATGACCACACCAACAGCACTTACACCCGTGCGCCATTTCAAATTGACATCCTTCAATTTGTTTTGGCAACATGCTATCATCACTTCATACAAATCACAATCCAATAGGGGTAGAATAACTTGTGTCTCAGGATCTCCGAAACGGCAATTGAATTCCAAAACTCTGGGACCATCTGGTGTCAACATCATGCCAGCATAAAGAACACCTTTATAATCAATACCCTCTGAGCGTAGACCATCGACCGCCTGTTGTAAAACTTTTGTCCGCACCAATTCCAAAGCATCTGGTGTGATCAGAGGGCAGGGACAATAGGCACCCATGCCACCGGTATTGGGTCCCTCATCCTTTTCCTTCAGACGCTTGTGATCTTGAGCGGGTAGCATTGCCTGTACACCATGATTGTCGACAAAAGCCAAGACGGATACCTCCTCACCGCTCAGCAATTCCTCGATAACCAATGTTTCGCCAGCTGAACCGTATTTTTTGCTACCCAATATTTCATCGACAGCTTGGCAGGCTTCCTCGGCATTGGCAGCCACCACCACACCCTTGCCAGCAGCCAAACCGGCGGCCTTAACAACCAAAGCTTTGTAGGGGGCACTGGAAAATAAAATGCAATCTTACACCCACATCTTTTGGTATATTTGTATTTTGTAGGACTTACGTCTTGATGAACTCTTTGGCCTTGGCACAATCGGTAAAAGATTCATAGCGTGCTGTGGGTATATTGTTGCGTATCATGAAATCTTTGGCCCATTTCTTATCAGCTTCAATTTGTGCTCCCTTTTTACCGGGGCCAAAGCAGGCTATGCCAGCACTTTGTAAAACATCACCCAAACCATTGGCCAAGGGATCTTCGGGACCAACGACAACCATATCGATTTTATTTTCCTTACACCATTTTGCGATGGCCTGGAATTGAGGAAATAAAATACAATATTAATATTAATTAATTTGGCTAGACGTAGCTCAATATCTCTGCCATTGCTGAGATTTCAAAGGAAGTAAGAAAATGGGATGCCCTAGATCTAAGAAACTAAATTAAAATATATAGGATATATTTCAACATCACTACAGCAAACAGAAATTTTCCGGGTGCAGGGTACAAGCCCTGAAAATATAGGGTACCATAAACTAAGACCAATACCAAATTTCATAAGAAAACCATCCCATTTCTTATTTTCGCAAGGTATGAAAATAAGTTACTATTATCCCCATCATCCGATAGGTATATACAGGGTAAGATGAAAAAACCGCAACCAACTTCAGACTGCTGTCATTTCTAAACGACAGCTCAATATATTGTTTACAAGCGTACAAAAGCATTTTGGGAATTTTTCAGAAAAAGTTATTCGTGATGGAATTCAAGCGTGACAGTCTGATTTGTTTATATTAGGCTGGAAAGCCACACATTTAAATGCTGGAGTGTTCTAACAATAGCCACGAATACTCCAGCATTTAAATGTGAATAAATCTTTTTCATACCATCGCTCGTTACAGTGATACTGGTAGCGTAGCCCGACTTCAAGGAAGTAGACGGAAGAAAAAAGGAACATCGGCAGAAATGGTTCTAAAAGTAAAGAAGCGACACGATCACTCGTGAGCTGAACATATGTGCTCGGGGTAAAGCCATTGAAATTCCCAGAGTTGCTTCGCTTGGGTTTCTCCGATTTGGGTTTCTCCGATGAGAAAACATTCGTTGTCCAGCAGTTTGTAAACAAACAAAATGATCGTGTTTACTTCCCAAAGAGGTCAGCTGAAAATGTGCACCTTCGGTTGGCCGCCAGAACTCAAACACCGGTCATGGTGATGGTGAGGGACGCCATAACAGCCGATAGTCGCTCTCCGCTCGTATCAATCGACCCATCAGAATAAATGCCGAATATTATCGCGAAAATATTCTGGAGGGGGTATTAAAGCCTTGGGCACGCAAACATTTTAGCCGCAGACCTTGGACATTCCAACAGGACTCAGCACTATTGCACTCGGCACGCGCCACCCAAGAATTTTTACAAAATGAGGTTCCTCGCTTCATTTCCAGCGCACAATGGCCACCAAAATCTCCGGATACCAATCCGTTGGACTATTGCGTCTAGAGTATTTTGGAAAGCAAGGTTGGCACTAAAACATACCAATGTGTCGATCACCTCAAGCAAGCGCTTCGCCGGGAATGGGCCAAAATACAGCAGAGCAACATTCAGGCAGCGGGTGACGGTTTCATTGATAGTTTGGAGCCCATAATTTGTGCCAAAGGTAACCAATTCGAAAAAATCTAAACTTATTCTAAAATTTAATGCTATTTCCGACATTTTCTGCTTTCATTCAATAAAATTAAAAAAAAAAATGTAAAAATTATGGTGTTTGACTTTGTTGCAGTTTTTTATCTCACCTTGTATATTCGCAACCCCGGATGAAGTCAACAAAAATCACCCAAAAACATTTTTATACCCTACACCACAAGGTGGTCAGGGTATTATGTATTTGTGCATTTGTTTGTAAAAGGCAAAAGGAAACGAGATAGACCCATAGTTCCTTTTGATGATCTGCATAGAATCACTTTCTGATTTGATTTATGCATGTAAGTCCGTCTGTCTGTCCGTCCGTCTGTCCATGTATTCATGTGAACAAAATGCAGGTCACATTTATTATCCGATTGAGATGAAATTTTCCAAACAACATTTGTTTGGCCCAAGAAGTTGGAGATAATCGGTAAAAATTTACATATAGCTCCCATATATGTATATCTTCGTCCGATTTGCCTTTTATTGTGCACCAAACGTGTAATATCAGCCCGAATAGTATGGAATTTTGCACATACAACCAAATTAAGCCTGAAAATAAGTATGCCAAATTTGATCGAAATCGGTTCAGATATAGCTATAGCTCCCATATATATTGTTCATCCGATTTGTTGTATTTGTTACCCACAGCTGTAATATGCACTCCGTAACAACGATATTCAGGGAAATATATCAAATACAGCTCAGAAATATCTTTGTCAAATTTCATCGAGATCGGTTCAGATTTGGATATAGCTCTCATATATACCTTTATCTGATTTCAAATTAATTTTGCACCAAATGGGCAATACAAGTCCGAATTTAAAAGATACAAATGCTTCGGCATATTTTGTCCTTTGAATTTTAAATTATAATTATAATCATGAATTCTCCCATAAAAACTTTTAATTGTTATGTGGAGCTCAAGTAAATTAGCTAAGTGGTGTAGGGTATCATAAAATAGGCCCCGCCAGACTTTAGGACTTTCTTTACTGGTTTTATTTACAAAACGTAGGTCTATAAGCTTAATAAAAACTTAGGTCTATAAGCTTAATAGGAATTCTAGCTAGACCCTGGAAAACAATGATTCCAAAAATAGTAGATTCTTGCAGGTTCTGGAACAGGGCCCCTTGTTTTCTTATTTTATGAGCATTTTTGGTCAGATATACTATTAATGAATAAAACTAATGTAAATTCATTATTCTCCTTAATTTAGTAATAAAAATTTACCTTCGCAATACATTGGTCTGAACCCTTGGTCTGAAACAAAAGAATATAAAAATATTCCCACGCGCAAAAATTGTTTTAATATATTTTCTTATATCGCTAATTTGTTCTAATAAACATCATATTTTTTTTGATGAGAAACACACAGAAACAATTGGTGCTAAATAATTTTATTTAAATCTATACAAAAATGGACGGGTTGCGAACGGTAAATTGAGAGATATTTTATTTTAATGATTGACTGGTACATCCAACATGAATTTGTCTTACCACGCTAAATTGCATTGGGAATTCCAAAATTAAAACAATCGCAAAAAGTAGACATTTTATGACACTTTGTCATCAACAGTTTAATTTTATGAGACTACTAGTAGAGCATTGCGGCGGCGATGACAAACAAAAAACAATGAATGAAATCATCCCAGAAATACTTTAAGAAATTAAATTTTGGAATGTTGAACATTAAAAATAAACTTAAGATAAGCCGATTATTTCAAAACTAGAATTGAAAGTTGTAGAAAGTTATTTTAAATTAAAAACAAATTGAAACTAATGCAAACGAAACACAAAATAAAAAGAATTATATCCAAATTATGCAAATATGACTTTTATTTCAAGTTCAGGGTCTGGACTATTTTCGTTTTTTTGAATGGAAGCAAATCTTTTTTAAAACGTGTAATTTGTTATGCTTGAACTATAAATCTTTTGGCGTTGCCACAAATAAAAAGTTCATTGGTCTTGCGTTGGTTTTTTCATATTTTATCCCTCTCTCTCTAAACTATGTATTTTTGTTTCCGCAAAAATGTTATAGTTATTATGTGGACATAAATCAGATTGAACCCCAAGATATTTGTGAATTGCAAAAAAGGTTTGTAAATCAAATAGGTATATATGTTACGTTCGTTCCTTCCACTCCCAAATTCCAAAAGAGATCAATCAACGCAAAATTATTTTCAACTCGAAAATATTCATCACATCATCATCATCAATCTGTCAAATAATTTTTATTAATGTTTGTTTTTATTTTTCGTAGAAGAGAAACAAAATAGGTTTACGACTATCATTTTGTAACGAAGACTACGTAATGGGCAAAGATAAAACCCAGACTAAATGAAATATTGTTCACGGAAGTCTATCACAGAAATAAAGCAAATTGAATAGGGAGAGAGGAAACAATAGAGAGTAAAGTGGCTCTCAGCTGGTCTTCTCTCGGTATTCATGCATATTAAGTGATTCGTGTCTGGTATTAAATATAGAAAATTCACCAGTATTCAAATTGGGAAAAATAATGTAATATTTTTCAACAGCATAATAATCGAAGATAGCTCCTTCGCTTTTGAATGGACAAATGATAATGGGGACAAATGATAATTCTTCTGAATCTGAATACATGAAATCTATGTGTGATGCTTCCCTATGTTGAAATTCTTAACGCCAATAATATTATTTAACATCAAACAACTAAAGATAGTACCTTTTCTTTTGAATAATTTTAAAAGATGTCTTACTTTTTGTCAACTTATTCCAAGCATGGTCTATTCTTATGAATTAAAATGTTCCCTTAGTACTGACATTTTCCGCTTCTTTGGATATATTTTCGTAGCTTACTTTGATAGCAAATATCACAATCAACTTGACCTTGATTCAGGGGTTGTTAATGTTACGAAAAAAGTGGGAAGTTCTAACTGACGGATCATTTGTTATTCTCATGTTCCCGGACAAAGGGATCTAAATCCGTATAAAATACTATAGCTGTCGCCGTGTTGAATTACAAACAAAATATGTGTTCACAATATTACAAGCAGCATACGATAATTCTTCTGAATCTTCGTCCAGAGATAAATCAATTGGTCCTCTGCCATCGTCCAGTGCAAGGTCAAACAGCAAAGTATCCATTTTCACTGGATTGACCATATCTTCCCGAACAAAGCGAATCTAAGTCCTTATAAAATCCCATGGTACAATAAAAAGGTAAGGTAGAGCTCCCAGCTGATTACAATTTTTTTCTAAGGGTGCCCGACTTCTGCCAATTTTGTGTATGTATTTGTTGTTTTGAAAAATAAAAACAAAATATTTTCAAAATCAATTATTGCAAGAAACTTAAATTTCGGGACGCGCATTAATAATATTAAACAGATTTGCCATGAAATTTAAATATTTGAACACTCAGGATCATGTTTTTGAGAGAACATTCAGGGATTTCATTCATCTTTCGCGCTATTTAACTCATTTTAAAAATAAACAAATAATATCAAATAAATGAAAACTTGTTGCCTATTATTTTATATAATTCTGACAGGAAGCGGGCATAGTCTTAGGGCTGTATTTCTATAGTTATACGAAGCTGTTCTACCTCCTTATTGTACCATGATAAAATCCTATAGCTGTCGTCGTGTTGAATAAAGT